AAAACTGTTTTTATTATAGAGAATCAATGTTACAAATGAAGTTGGGGTAGGCTTTCTGTCACTGGGGCGGCTGGGCTTCTTTGCCAACGTAAACAAGTAGCATTTCAAATTCAAAGTAAGCTCCATTCTTCTGTGTTGGGTTGTTGGAACACAACAAGAAGCAGTCCAACTCACATGACTGGGAAACGTGTACGAAATTTCTTCTCAGTTTCTCATTTAGTGCTTCAAATTAAGTTTGTTTTTTCATAAATCATAATTAAATTGCTCTTTTTGGCTTTTTGCAATTCCAGGTTTTGCAGGGATGGTAACCTCAAAAGATTCATTGATAATGAAATGAATTAGTACTCAAGAAAAAACCATTTTTTTAATAGTACAAATTTGATAATAAATTAATCTTAAAGATATAAATACTCCGAAAACCTCACTAAAAAAAAATTTACCATAATTAGTTGGCGACGGAGAGCTGGAGGGGTGGTGTAAAGACAGATTCGACGTGTCAAGTCTCGGACTGCTACAGTAATCCTTTTATGATCGAAGTGAGAAATGAATCCAAAACTTCCTGCTTAAATAGCTGCATGACAATGACAATAAGCATGCTCGCATCTGATTCCTTATGACGAGTGACACAACAAGTATGCTGGACATACATGCATCTGAATACCTCTCAAATTCTCGGTCCCGAAATAATCGTCTGGATAGACACTTCAGGCTCCGATTATCCTGCTAAGCAAGCCACGTGGATACCTCACAAAGGCCTATAAATACCTCCAAGGGTCACCTCAGAAAGGTAATTGAAACCAACCCTAAACTCTTTTTATCTCTGCTCTAAAGGTAGCCCCAATTATTGCTGACTTAAGCATCGGAGTGTCTACCCCGAATTCCACCTCGGGGCTTTACAGGTCTTCCGGAGTGCAAGTGCGGACTGAAGAAGGACTTCTGGTCTGGTGCAATTACAGGTGGGGTTATTGTTCCAGGTTAAATATTTAATATTATATTTTTTAATATAATTATTTATTATATATTTATATTATATATTTTTAAAAATTTTATATTTTATTCTTTAATAAATTAAAAAATAAAATAATTAATTAAAATTAAAATATATAACATTTGTAATTAAAAGTACGATAATAACATCATCTAGAGTTGGATTCACAATTATAGTAACATCGTGTATTATTCCATAAATTTATTATTAAAAACTAACACCATACACAAAGTAACGCATAATAAGATTACAAATTACGTTAGTTTTTTTATAATTAATCTTTCCAAATATACACACCGACGTAAGCAATGTATTTATAGTTTGAAGAGAAATTAATTTTGAGTTATA